CTCTTCGCGATCATGGCCCTTTTTTTGCGATCTCGAAGAAGGTTGTACCATATCTCAGAAACAACAGCTCAAACATGGCGAAATGACCCCTAGCCCATCTGAAACACACCTGCGGCCCCTGGGACCCAGCCATTTCCAAAACGATGCAAACTTGCTCGAGGCCCCAAATCACGCCAAACAACATCCAAACTACGAATCGATGATCAAAACCTTTCTTTCAACTTTCAAACTTCGCCGAACGCGTCCGAATTGCACTTAAACATTCGAGAATGACGCCAAATTTCACGTACAAGTCACAAATCTCAATACGAATCTATTCCAAGGCTCTAAATCCCAAACAGACATCGATAGCAGCAAAGTCCACTTCAAATCAAACTTAGAAAATTCTAACATCTTCAAAATGCCAACTTTCCACAATAAGCGCCGAAATACTTCCGGACCACCCGATATTGAATCCGAACATACGCCCAAGTCTGAAATCATCATACGAACCTATTGGAACCTTCAAATCCCGATCTCGAGGTTGTTTACTCAAAAGTCAGACCTTGGTCAACTCTTCCAAATTAAAGCTTCCGAATTAAGAATTTTCCATCTGAATCAACTCCGAACTTCCCGAAATTCAGTTCCGACTACGTGTACAAGTCATAAAATATGAAGTGAAGCTACTCAAGGCCTCAAACCGCCGAACGACGTCCTAGATCTCAAAACGAATGGTCGGATCATTACAACAAACCTTATGTCTGGCTTTGTGATTGTCAAGTCTAGCAATCTCCCTATTAGTCTTTGATAAGTGTCACATCTGCTAAGCGTTCATCTCCTGAAACCCCTATCTGATTATCATGTTCCATAGAAGTAAGCTTCTGATTGATATCTAAGGGTGTTTGAGACAAGTTTGGCTCCTCTTAGTCCCAATTCTGATATTAATTGTAGGACATGTTTCCTCTGTTCAACAATATTTCCTTATGTGACCTCAGTACATCTATTCCAAGGAAAAACTTTAGTTCTCCAAGATCTTTTACCTTAAACTTCTAATGTAGCACCCTTTTTGCCTCTTGAATGAGAATGTCACTACTTCGTGTGATTAATAAATCGTCCACATACACTAGCGCTACAGCTTTGTCGCCTTCTTCATTTTTAGTGAACGTAAAATAATCATACAAGCTTTGACCGTAGCCTACATCAACCACCGCCTTTGAAAGCTTTATGCCTCATTATTTTAAGCATATTTTAAACCATACGGAGATTTCACTAGCTTACACACTTTTGGCCCCTGCCTCCTGAAACCTTAAAGAAGCTCCATGTAAACTTCTTTAAATAGATCTCCTTTGTAGAACTGCATTATATACATCCATTTGAAATGTATTCCAGCCCCTGAAGCAGCTAATGCAATGACAGACCTGAAAGTCGCCATCTTAGTAACTGATGAAAGATTTCAAATAGTTGCAGGTTGAGGCTCCGTTGAGAGTTTCATCAAAGGTCTTGAGCTAGGTTTGAGTTTCAGCTATTATATATTAGTGGGTATATCAGTGTATATCACATAAGATTTTTATTGATACACATAGACATGTATATCACGTTGTATACCAGTGTATACCACAACATATAGATCAATATGCATGATATCTAAGGTGATATACAGAAAGGATACACGACAAGAGTTTTCTTCAACCTCGAGTTTTCAATCTTACTATCATCTCAAATTTATCTCAAGTTATCTTCAAACACATCCAAAATCAATATTCAGACACCTTAAAATGTTTCCAAGAAAATCCAAATTTACCTAATCAAAAGTTACACGATTTCAGTAGCAAAACTCTAAAAAAAAAACCTAAAATAATAATAAAAATTACAACTTAAAAGAGTGCTTATTGGATGAGCATAATATGAGAGAGAGAGAGTTGAGAGAGAGAGAATGAAAGATAATCTAGTTTGGTTATAAAATACTAATTATTAAATTAAAACATGAATGTGAGCTACAAGGTGTTAATAATCATAAGTTGAGTTTTTATGCCATTTATAAGGTTAGATTTTTAGGTAGCGCCAAATTGGAGCAAATGATTTTCTTTAATTTTATTTTTTTGTTTTGAACTCCACAAGAATTCTTTCTTTTGTTAGTTTACCCACTGTAACTGACTGCCACGTCCAACGAAAAATTAGTTCATACCATAACGATCTAAATGAAAGATTTTTTTTTTTAATTTTTTATTGATGCACTCCTTTTGAGAATAAATACAAAGAAAGATCTTCTTTTTAACAGGAAAATTTGATCTTCAAAAAATAAATAAAGTTTTTTTTACAACTTTTAAAACCCAAATTGTGTATTGTATGGGCTAGAAGAAAAACATCTCTAAGAAATTATTTGCATAAGCAACCAATTTGCACAGTGCCTTTTTAAGAGGGGGAGGGGGTGCACATACAGCCATTTTTAGGGCTACTATTCACCGATTAGTCAGTACTTATTTTCTCCTAAAAATTTGAATTGAATATCTTAATGTCAAGACAATTCAGGATATTTTTGTCCCAAAAATTTGAATTAGAAAATTAAAATTTAGGACATGTTGGCTAATTCCTAAATAACAACCCTTTAGGGTAATTACTTGGTATTATTTCTACCATTTAAGGCGCATTAACTTTTTTACCAATTTTGTATTTGTAGTCACTTAGGGGTCGTTTGGTAGGAGGTATTAGAAAAAATAATGCAAGCATTAGCTTTACGCATTGCTAATACTTTGTTTGGTACATCTTTTCAACATGTGTATAACTAATACTTGTATTAGTTATACATCATACTTGGTATTATCCTATGTATAAGTAATGCATAGAAAACCATGGTATTAGTAATACCAAGGCTATTAATACATGCATTAGTATGGTTAAAGACAAAATTATCCTTAAAGTCCCTTAAGGCTAGAGAATATGGAGGACATTTTTGTAAACAACTATTTTTCTTACAAATTATGCAATGCATTATAATTTTAATACACCACACCAAACAATAGATAAAAAATAATATCTGCATAACTAATGCTTGCATTACTAATACATGCATTAATAATACACCTTATTCCACACTATTCTTATACACCCTACTAAACGACCCCTTAAGGTTTCAGCATTAAAATCACCATTGTTATAAGTTTGATTAACTGTGTCAAATATGAGTGAGTTTAAATTAAATGGTTGTTGTTAGAAAAGCTTGCTTTTTTCTTCTTCCAGAAGTTCTCAAGATTTTATAAAGTAAGTTAAAACACCATCTAAAAGTCACTATTGCTGTAAACTTGAAGAATTGTGGATTTTGAATTTTAAATATGAGTGAGTTTAAATCAAGTGTGTATTGTTGAATTTTTTTAGAAATTATATAAACTACTCTTAGTTTGACATATTTGTTTGACCTGTTAAGCTTTTTGTTAAACTAATTAATGATGAAATAGAAGGTAAATCTTAATTAAACATAATAAATTCTAAATCTAATGTTATGAGATATTGGCAGGATAAACAGTGTTTGAGAATATTAAATAACGGATGTATACTCAATGAGTATCAATAAATATTATAACATGAACATGCAATAAATGCAATAAGAAGGAATCTATCACCCAAATGTTAGATGACTTGGGTGATTCTTTCTTCTGACAGCAACGTGGAATGATAGAAAGTGAGGATGGATAAGGAATCTTTGGATATAGCAAACAGAGAATGAATAACTTATGTTGAGCCAAGTAGTTAGTGAACAAGACAATATTTGTATATTCTTCTTAGTCAACTCTTTACAAAGTATTCTTATCAAGAAAAGTGAATATCCCTCTTTTGTTCTTTATCTCTTTCTATTTATAAGGAATATTCACAAGAAACCCTAAAAAGTACAACATAAGGAATATCCAAAGGAATATTCCTTGTGTCCATTTCTAAGCCTATCCTACCGTTACTTCTTTATTCCAGTTACTCGTCCTTGGTGATAATTCTTCTGAAGGCGACTTCTCGTTGTTACGCCGCGGTCGACCCCATCCTTGACCCTATTTATCAACCGTTATCCAAATTTAGACCAATACAATATTATGATGTCTTTGATATTTAGAACTAAAAAAAAAGAAGAATATTGAGAAACATAAGATGTTAGAACTTCACGTATAAATGCCTCAAGTTCAATCAGGAAAAAATGCAAAAATATTTGGGGTTTTCCTGCTACCAAATTGTCTACAGTTAGACTTTAACATGCCAAACTTCATTTGAGCTAGGGGTGTTCATAAAAACCCGAAAAATCGAACCAAACCGAAAACCAAATTAAACTGATAAAAAAAACTGATACTTTTTGGTTTGGTTTGGTTTTGGTTTTGAATTTTAAAAACCGATCAAATTTGGTTTGGTTTTGGTTTTAATCAAAATATAACCGAAAAAACCCGAACCAAACCGACTATAGGAGTAGCTATTTCAAATTTATTATTACACCTATATATATGTAGATTTTTATACAAAGTTTCAAATAAATTATGGTGAATGTTAATCATTTGCACTTTTAGTACAGTTCTTTACCTTTATATTCTAGTTTGATTGATAGTTTTCTTTTGTTAAGTGTAAGAATCCATTTCATGTTAAAAAAATATATCTTTAATTGAGTCCTTAAATTATTCATCACTATTTGATTCAATTATCATCAATATATTTTAGTAAATAATAAATTTCTCAAATGACAATTGATTTGATAGTGTTACGTTGAAAATATGGTCGCCGGAATATGTGTTTGGTAGTGTATGTCTTATATTTAAGAAAAAACCGACAATAACCGAAAAACTGACAAAATCTGACATAATCCGAATCGAGAAAAAACAGACTTAATTGGTTTGGTTTGGTTCTAATATTTGAAAAACCGACTTACTTAGTTTGATTTCTTTTTATGAAAAAATCGATCCAAACACATCCCTAATTTGAGTGATGAACATCCCTAATTTGAGTGCCTGAACTTCAGACTTGCGCGTCAGAAGTTCATTTGAAGCGACTAAACTTCCAAAAATTTAGGAACTTCAACTATGACTTTAAATGGGCGTCTTGAAATCAGCTATGTGTGCACTTCGCCCAATCTCAACAAAGTAACCCAATTGCCACATTAAATTCAAAAGCCCAAATATGGATCCAAATTAATGTACATCTTTTGATCTGCTTCTCACAGAGTGCCCCTCGACAAACAATGTTTCTTAGAGCTAAACTCCAACCATGTAAAATCTCCCGCTTTTTCTCAATTGAAGCAACAAAACAGGCTTTCAATAATCAACAAGGATATTCTCCCATTACTCAACAACTCTTACGCCTCTTAAAAAAATGCATAACAATCAAACAAGTCCAACAAATTCATACCCAAATGTTAATTTACTCTATAGAAAAAGCCAACTATTTGCTCTCAAACATTATAGACCTCAAATATTTCAACTATGCTACTCTTCTTTTTTCACATATTCATAGCCCCAATGAGTATGCTTTTAATATAATGATAAGAGGGCTAACTACAACATGGCAAAAATTTGATCTTTCTTTGGAACTTTACTACAAAATGAAGTCTTTAGGCTTGAAAACTGATAATTTCACTTATCCTTTTGTGTTTATGTGTTGTGGGAATCTTTTAGCAGTGGAACTTGGTAAATTAGCTCATTGTGAGGTGGTGAAAAATGGGTTGTTTGTGGATTTTCACGTTGGTCACTCCTTGATTACTATGTATTCAAGAATTGGGAAGATGGGTTTTGCAAGGAAAGTGTTTGATGAAATGTCGCGCAGAGATTTGGTTTCGTGGAATTCAATGATTTCAGGGTATGCTCAAACGGGTTGCTCGAGAGAGGCAGTGGGATTGTTTATGGAGATGAGGAATGAGGGGTTTGAACCTGATGAGAGGACACTTGTGAGTGTTCTTGGGGCATGTGGTGACTTGGGGGATGTGAATTTGGGAAATCAGGTAGAGGAGTACGTTGTGGAGAAGAGAATGGAGCTGAATTCTTTTATGGGTTCTGCTTTAATTAACATGTATGGGAAATGTGGAGATTTGGTTTCTGCTAGAAGGATCTTTGATGGCATGAAGAAGAAAGATGTGATTACTTGGAATGCGATGATTTCAGGGTAAACACTTATTTTACCTTTTTTTTTTATCCCTGGCTATTTGCATTCTTTTTCTTTTTTAATTTGGCAGTTAAGTCGTTGACTATGTGCATTGCAAGGTCAGGTTTCGTTTTATTGAGATCATCATTTTACTATTTGGTTCACAGTGGGAAAAAAGATTTATATAGGTGATACCAGTTAGTTTGGAATATATTTTAGTCATGTTAGTACATTTACCTGAGGTCTTATTCCTGGGAGTTTTTAGCTCTATCGGAAATTTTATGCTCAGTAGAAAATATAGAGAACTTCTAGTACTTAGTTTTATTTTTATTTTGTCTAATGTTGGCCTGAGACGAATTTAAATGGAGAAACATGAGGATTCATATATCAAATACCACCTTGCTTGAGACTGAGGCATACTCGTTGTTGCAGTTTGTATCGTTTTACTATTTGGCAAGGGTACACCAAATCTGAATCAGGCATGCAGTATCTCTTTCAACAAAATCTATGTGAAAATCCATGCTAGTTGCTCGCCGATACCAATTCTATTGGCTGATCGTTTTAGTTTTTACAAATGAATGTGCATTTAGACAACCAAAAGAATAAGTTTGTTTTCCAGCATAAAAGATATGAAGCCTGCTCTGACTTATGTGTTATCTCTTTGAGTTACTTCTTTCTGTTTTACTAGTACAACTATTTTATTATTCTCCTTTGTTACTACTCTTCCATGGATCTAATTAATAATTATTACAGGTATGCACAAAATGGGTTGTCCGAAGAAACAATCTCTTTGTTCAATGCCATGAAGGAGACAGGAGTTAACCTAAATAATATCACGCTGGTAAGTGTTCTTTCTGCATGTGCTTCAATTGGAGCCTTGGATGTTGGAAAATGCATTCATGACTATGCGTCAAGAAGAGGTATAAAGCATGACATATATGTAGCTACGGCCTTAATTGATATGTATGCAAAATGTGGCTATCTGGATGATGCATATCAAATTTTTGAAAGCATGCCTAGAAAAAATGAGGTCTCTTGGAATGCAATGATCTCTGCTCTTGCCTTTCACGGAAGAGCACAAGAGGCGTTATCCCTGTTTGAGCGCATGTCACTCAAGAGTAGTGATTCCCGCCCTGATGATGTCACATTTGTTGGAGTACTCTCCGCATGTGTACATGCAGGATTGGTTGATGAAGGCAGGCGCTTGTTTGATCTAATGAGTTCATCGTTTGGATTGGTTCCAAAAGTTGAGCATTACTCTTGCATGGTTGACCTTTTGTCTCGTGCTGGTCGTGTATATGAGGCATGGGAGTTTATCGAGAAGATTCCTCAAAAGCCAGATGAGATTTTACTTGGAGCATTGCTTGGTGCATGTCAAAAGCTGAAAAATATTGATGTTGGGGAACGAGTGATGCAGCTACTTCTGGAGATGGAACCATCGAATTCGGGTAATTATATAATATCATCAAAGATATATGCAAATCTCAGAAGGTGGGATGATTCAGCAAGGATGAGACAATTAATGAGACAGAAAGGTGTTACTAAAATTCCAGGTTGTAGCTGGATTGAGATGGATTCTCAACACGTTGAATTTCGTGCTGGCAGTTCATCCCATCCAATTGCAGATGAGATTCACCAGGCACTTGACTTGTTGTATGAGGAGATGGCTATAGAAGGTTATGTTCCAAATGTGAATCTTGTATAGAAAGGTGAGGATGAAGATATTTTAATTCTTGTTATGCTAATCAGGTGGAACCTCAACATATTTATAAAGAGAGAAAACTACGAGAAAAGAAAAGAGAAAAGGTAGGCATTGAACTAATGAAAATCTGGGTCTTAAATGTTCAGTTTAAGATTTTGACAACACGGTTCAAGATAAAAAGCTATACCTCTTTAATGCGTTGCTCTAACTGCCAGTTTTCACATGAAAATGAAGTCGGTCTGTATCGCGTTATAATGCAATGTTAGTTGGGTTTCATTCAGTAATCATAAAAGCCAGTCATTTTCTCTACTTTCTTGGATAGCTGCTTGAATAGTAATGAACTTTGAATATTTTTCAAACTATAGCTGAAAATTTCTAATTTATGAGAAATTATTGAAAATTTATAATGGCTTGTGCGTCTTAATATAAAGGTTGTCGCAAAAAATTTACTGTCTTGATGAAAGAGAGTTTCTTTTTATTAAAGTTGTAGCAATGATGCCCAGGTTCTATTTCAAGCTTGGGTCACTTGTTTTCTATCTCTTGAGATGGTGAAAGAGCTTATATCTTCTTCAAGTATTATAGAATTGCTTGCTACTCGAAATTCATCTAATTTAAGATATTTTACAATTTGCCTACGCTGCAATCTGCTTTTGTGCACGAAACTTTTCTTTCTTGCTCGTCGAGGCATGTCACTAGCAAACTGCGACCTAATACTGGCGTTCTCTTAAACTCATGCATAACTGTACAAGACTTTCTCATCTTCTTGCTGGCCATTAAAAGCTACTGCAATCTCAGCCATGCTAAGTGCATATCAAGATTTTTCTCTCAAATCCAACAACCATTGTGGACATCATCAGAACATCCAGCAGGTGGATTGTCAATTTTGCTGCTCCTTGACTGGTTGATTTTGCTGATATTTTTATTTTAGTTAAAGAGTGAAAAGTTCAGAAAACAAACTAGAGAAATTGAATGTTCGCGGGTGGGGCAGGTTGAAAGTTTGCGGGTTAAGGCTTCATCCCCTCCCCCCTGCCTTGCCCGCTTGCCATCTCTACTTGCTGTCGCTCTTCCTCTCCTTTCTTTTTGCGCTAAAAGCTGTATCTCATACTGTGAAACACCTTTTAGTTCTTTGATTTCTATTGTCAAGGGAATTTTTCTCTTATGTAACAAATTGTGAGCAGTTAAGAATTTTCTTGTATATGCCAATGCAAAATAGAAGTGAATCTATTATCTTTTAATCAGCAGCTTGGAGGTGTAAAGTGCAATTTCCCCAAAAAATACGATGGAAAACTCATTTGTATATTTATTCAGTGGAAGAAAAGGTGATAAAAACCTTGGAGTATCACAACTAGTCAAAAACAGATGAACAGGTCCAAGAGTGTACAAGTAAGGGTGCAATAATTGACCTATACCCATATGTGGAATGTAGGACCCAAACACCACTAAATTCATTCTTCCAGACATGAAAGAAATGATATTGTGGTCTGTGAGTTTCAACAAGTCACGTTCCAAGGGTCATGTAGATTCTTTTTCAGGTTTCAAGAAACAGTTTGGCTTTTTTAATCATACTTTACCTTTCAGTTTCATTTCTTTGCTATTTGTAAATTTTGGTCTTATAATTTCTCAAATTCTCTTTTTAACAACAAACTGCAGCATTGATTTTGACTTTTTGCAGATTTTGTTTGAATCAATCTGCAGAAACATTCAACAGCTTCTTCCCAGCTGCTAAATATAGGTAACATTTGATGAGGCTTAGAACTCTTTATTACCTCTTGTTTTTCCTTTTATCAAAATTGATGTTTTGTTTTATCTAGGAAACTAATAAAGAGAGGAGCAAAAATTTTGCGAAGCAGTATTTTGTCCTACAGTTGCTGAGAGAGATGGCTTATGTTGCTGTGATTTCTCTCTTACGAACTCTGGAGCAACTTGTGCAGCTGCAGCCTCATTGGATAAGTGCCGAAACAAGAATAATGGCGAACTCTCTCCTTGTTAGTCTTGAATATTTCCAAAACTTTCTCGAGAACACGAGCAAGAGAAGTCAAGATCATGGACAGATTAAAGAGCTGGAGAGATATATTAGAACTGTAGTAAATGAAGCAGAGGATGTGATTGAACTAAAGATATATGAAATTAATCAACTGGATCGAATGATGGCAAGCAAGGCATTATACGAAATCTTGCCTCCATTTGTAGAAAAGATTGACCTTCTGAAAAGGGAGGTGATGGAAAGTAGTTTCAGTACAGATAAAATCCATGGCTATGGTGATCCAATGAATGAGAATCTGCAGCTGGGTCATTCATCTAGACAAGTTGCAAATCTGAATCTAGAGACTATTGTTGTAGGTCTTGAGGACGACTTGATGATAATCAAGAGAAGATTAACAGGGCCCCCGTCTACTCGAGAAATTGTCCCGATTCTGGGAATGGGGGGGATAGGCAAAACGACACTTGCTAAAAAGGCATACGATGATTCTGAAATCAGGCACCGGTTTGATGTCCATGTTTGGGTGACAGTCTCTCAAGAATACCGAATTAGAGATTTGTTGTTAGGTGTTCTTTCTTGTACTTCAAATGAGGTCAAAGAGACTGATGATCAACTGATGGATATGATATACAAAAACTTAAATCGTAAGAGGTATCTAGTTGTCATGGATGATATTTGGAGTAATGATGTCTGGGATCTTATGACAAGAACTTTTCCAGACGACAACAATGGTAGTCGAATTATTTTGACTAGTAGGCTTAAAGATCTGGCTATTCATGCTGACCCTGACAGCCCTCCTCATGAGATGAGACTCTTGAGTTCAGATGAAAGTTGGAAGTTACTTCATGACAAGGTGTTTGGGGTAGAACATGAGATTTGTCCTCCTGAACTAAAGGACATCGGGAAGCAAGTAGCACAAAAATGCCAAGGACTACCTTTAGCTCTTCTAGTTGTTGCAGGATATCTCTCTAAAATTGCTAGAACACCAGAAAGTTGGGGAGATGTTGCCAAAAGTGTAAGTAAAGTTGTTGCTCATGAATCAGATATATGTCTAGGAGTGCTTGCTATGAGTTACAATTACTTACCTAATCACCTTAAACCATGTTTCCTTTACATGGGAGTCTTTCCAGAAGATAGCGAGGTTAACATTGTGACATTGATCAACTTATGGGTTTCTGAGGGTTTTCTAGGGAAAGAAAGGCTCAAAAGCATGGAACAAGTGGGAAGAGATTGTTGGGAGGATCTTGTTAGTAGGCATCTGATAATGGTTAGAAAGAGGAGATTTAATGGCGAGGCGAGAACATGTGGTGTCCATGATCTGGTTCGCGACTTGATTTTAAGAGAAGCTGAGAAAGAGATGTTCTTGCAGGTTACTAGAACTCACGAAGCCACGAATCCTTTGGCAAAGAAGCTTCATGTTCGTCGCTACAGCTTCCATCCGTACATTTATGAGGATGATTGCTGGGAGGAGTCCAGTTTCATCCGAACAGTGCACTTACGTGGATTTGGTGGATTTTTTCATTTTGAGCACTTCAAACTGCTAAGAGTGTTGGTAATCCCTTATTATGAGTTTCGAGATTTCCCTCTTGAGATAACAGAATTAGTACATCTCAGATACCTTCAGTTCTGGTGTAATGATGATATTTACCAGTTAGTGTCAAAGCTATATAATCTGCAGACCTTCATTTTTCGTCACGAAGCTCTTAAACCTCCAACTATACCTGAGACAATTTGGGAAATGAAACATTTAAGGCATCTTCAAGTCGTCAAAAGAGTCTTTTCTCTTGCAATCCCTAAGTCTGGTTTCAAGCTAGAAAATTTGGAGGGACTTTCCTGTCTAAATTTGTCCAGCTGTACTTATGAAATGTTTTCTGCTATTCCAAATCTTAAGAGGCTGAAGATTCATGGAAATTGGAGGGAATGCAAGAGAGAGAAGATTTCCCAGCACCTAGATAGTCTTTCCTGTTTAAAAGAACTTGAAATATTGAAGTTCAGGTACCAAGGAGCCTACCGTCGCCAGCTACCAAGGAAGTTTTCTTTACCTACATCTCTGAAGAGGTTGACTTTAACAAATACTCTTTTTCCACCGGAAGACATGACAAATATTACAATGTTGCCAAACCTCGAAGTGCTTAAAATGAAAGATGTATTTGATAGTGATGAGTGGAGATTAAATGATGAAGAAATTTTCAGTCAACTTAAGTTCCTCCTAATCAGTGTGACGTTTCTGAGGCACTGGGAAGCTGGGAGTGTTAACTTCCCAAAACTACAACGCGTAGTTCTGAGAAGCTGCATAGGCCTGGAAGAAATCCCTAAAGACTTTGGAGAAATTTATAGCTTGGAGTCAATAGAATTGTATGACTGCAGTATGTCCGCTGCAAAATCAGTGGAAGAACTTCAAGAAGAGCAAGAGAGCATGGGGAATGATTGCCTTAGTGTCGTCATCAATAATTGCGTGTAAGATTTAAAAACTGTCTCAGATTATTGCTCGCTAATCAGCTCAAATTTTTTCTTGTCTTTATTTTATGTGCTCCATTTCTTACCTCATGTTATATGATTACAGTGTAAGCCGCGATGATAGTTTAAAATTTTGAAGGACAAGTCAAGGAAGTCTACAACACACTTAATATATTATATTGTCTTATGAGTTTCTTCTCGTTGTAGGTATTGATGTTTAAGTTCAAGAAAGGTTGTCATGCTTGTTAAGAGAAAATGGTGTGCGTGTGATGGCTTCAATTGGAGCTCTGGATTTTGGAAAAGGCATCGATGACTATGCATCAAGCAGAGGTATAAGCATCACAATATGTAGCTACTGCCTTAATTCATATCTATGCAAAATGCGGCAATCTGGATGATGCATATCAAATTTTTGAAAGCATGCCTAGAAAAATTAAGTCTTTTGGAAGGCAATGATCGCTGCTTTTGCCTTTCACTGAAAATCACAAGAGGCGTTATCCCTGTTTGAGCGCATGTCACTCAAGAGTAGTGATTCCCGCCCTGATGATGGCATGTTTGTTGGAGTACTCTCTGCATGTGTACATGCAGGATTGGTTGATGAAGGCAGGCACTTGTTTGATATAATGAGTTCATCATTTGGATTGGTTCCAAAAGTTGAGCATTTCTCTTGCATGTTTGACCTTTTGTCTCGTGCTGGTCGCGTATATGAAGCATGGGAGTTTATTGAGAAGATGCCTCAAAAACCAGATGAGATTTTATTTGGAGCATTGCTTGGTGCCTGTCAAAAGCTCAAAAATATTGATGTTGGTGAAACGAGTAATGCAGCTACTTCTGGAGATGGAACCATCGAATTCGGGTAATTGTATAATATCATCAAAGATATATGCAAATCTCAGAAGGTGGGATGATTCAGCAAGGATGAGACAATTAATGCTACAGAAAGGCGTGGCCAAAATTCCAGGCTGTAGCTGGATTGAGATGGATTCTCAGCTTGTTGAATTTCGTACTGGCAATCCATCACATCCAATTGAAGATGAGATTCACCAGGCACTTGACTTGTTGTATGAGGAGATGGCCATATAAGGTTATGTTCCAAATGTGAATCTTGTGTAGAAAGGTGAGGATGGAGATATTCTATATCTTGCTATGCTTATCAGGTGGAACTGAACGTATTTATAAGAACAAAATAGGAGAAAAGAAAAGGGAAAAGGTACGCATTGAACTATGACACATCTGGCTCTTAAAAGTTTAGTTTAAGATTTCGACGACACGGTTAAAGATGAAAAGCTCAGCTTTTTAGACTATACCTCTTTAATGTGTTGGTCTGACTACCACTTTTTACATGAAAATGAGGTCGGTCTGTATCGCCCAGTAATGTAATGTTTGTTGGGTTTCATTCAGTAATATAAAAGCTATATTCATTTTCTCTACTTTTTGGATGGCTGCTTGATTAGTAATGAACTTTGAACATTTTCAAACTATAACTGAAAATTTCTAACTTATGAGAAATTATTGAAAATTTTTAATGGCTTGTGCGTCTTAATCTAAAGGTTGTTGCAAGAGATTAACTGGCTTGATGAAAGACAATTTCTTTTCTATTTAAGTTGTAGTACTGCTGCCCTTTGGATAAATTTGGTTTGTTTGTTCTCAATTTTCTATTTTCTTTACTTGCTATTCTAAATCCAACTAAGTTGAGATATTTTACAATTTGCCTGCAGCATGTAACTTGCTGCACATATTGTTGGATAGGCCACTGGATACCTTTGTGTTCGTGTGGGCTTGAGCTGAATGCATGATCAGTTTGTTGGCATGCTTCCTTGCGAACTCTGACTTGCCAGGTTCATCTATGGTCTAATTTATATCTGCTCATTACCTCAAGTATATGTTCCTTTACATGTTACCTAGTTCTCATGACTCTTTAACTTAATGTATTTCTCATTGATCTTTTGTGTCTGCTTCAGAACCAAATGAGAAGCTACAAATGCAAGAACCAGACATAGTAACTTGACATAGTGATTTCACAGAGATCAAGCAAGAAGTAAAACCCTTAACCAAGATTCCCCAGATTATAAGGTGTATGCTTCTGTGCAAAATCTGCTTTAGTGCAAGAAACTTTAATTCCCTTTCTTGCTCGTCGAGGCATGTCATGTCACTATCAAACTGCGACCTAATACTGGCATTCTCTTAAACACATGCATAACTGTACAAGATTTTCTCATCTTCTTGCCGGCCATTAAAAAGCTACTGCTTACTGCAATCTCAGCCATGCTAAGTGCATATTAAGATTCTTCGTGGACATCATCCAAGAACATCCAGCAGGTGGATTGTCAATTTTGCTGCTCCTTGACTGGTTGATTTTGCTGATATTATTGGTTTTAGTTAAAGAGTGAAAAGTTCAGCAAACAGACTAAAGAAATTGAATGTTTGCGGGCGGGGCAAGTTGAAAGTTTGCGGGTTAAGGCTTCACCCCCTCCCCCGGCCTTGTCCGCTTGCCATCTCTACTGGCTGTCGCTCTTCCTCTCCTTTCTTTTTGTGCTAAAATTGTATGTCATACTGTGAATGACCTTTTAGTTCTTTGATTTCTATTGTCAAGGGATTTTTTCTCTTATGTAACAAATTGTGAGCATTTAATTTTTTTTTTGTATATGCCAATGCAAAATAAAAGTGAATCTATTATCTTTTAATCAGCAGTTTGGAGGTGTAAACTGCAATTTCCCCCAAAAAATACGATGGAAAAATCATTTGTATATGGAAGAAAAGGTGATAAAAATCTTGGAGTATCAGAACTAGTCAAAAAAGATGGCATGAAGCTTGAGGGGGCCCAAGAGTGTTGCAATAATTGAAATAAATCCACATGAGCATAATATGTAGGACCCAAACACCACTAAATCCATTGTTCCAGACATGAATGAAATGATATATGTGGAATGTCACGATAAGTAGTTTTAAAGGCGGAGTAGTCAATTACTACCTCCGTCCATAATAAGTGACTAATTTAATTTTTTATTTTGATCCAAAATAACTGTCCATTTATATAATCAAGAAAAAATTAATTTATTTTTTCAAAATTACCTCTATGTACATATCCCTAAAAAGTCTTTTACTCCTTACATTAAATTATGTTGCAACATTTAATTAAGGGTAGTTTAGTCACATTGACTATTTTTATCTAGAATTTAGTATTTCCTTAATGGGTGTGCCCAAAGCAAACTAGTTACTTATTATGGACGGGAGGGAGTATATTAAGTAAATTCAATGTGTGTTTGGCACTCAATTATGTTAAATCTATTAAACATGTGACAAAGTGTACATATTTATACTGCATCATTGAGCAAAACTACCGACAGACCAGACTACCACTTAAATTTCTCTAATACTACTCTCTCTAATACAGAACAGACTTTTAGGACCCTGCACAGCGGGAATTTAGTGCATCGGAGTATTCTTTGTTTGACTGGACATGAAGTTTAAGAAAGAAGGAATATTCTTTTTTTGGAATTGTGGTCCGTGACTTCCAAGAAGTGACATTCCAAGGGTCATGAATACAGTTTGGCTACTTTAATCACAGTTTATCTTTCAGTTTCATTTCTTTGTTATTTGTAAATTTTGGTCTTATAATTTCTCAAATTCTCTTTCAGTGTTGATTTTGCCTTTTTGCAGAAACATTCAACAGCTTCTTTTCAGCTGCTAAATATAGGTAACATTGATGGAGTCCAAAACTTTTTTGATGTTTTTTTTTGGACAAAAAACACTTTTCTACTACTTAAAAAAAGTTACATAAATAAGTAAAACGCAGTACTATACTGCGAACTACTTTAACGGAAATTAGTCCGTTAAAGTAAAACGCAGTACTATACTGCGAACTACTTTAACGGAAATTAGTCCGTTAAAGTAAAACGCAGTATTGTACTGCGTTTTACTTTAAGTTTTTTTTTTGTAATTCGCAGTACCATACTGCGTTTTACTTGTAATTTGCAGTATAATACTGCGTTTTACTTGTATTTCGCAGTATAATACTGCGTTTTACCAAAATCTGGGCCAGCAGTATAATTATGGGTTTAGAACTCTTTATTACCTCTTGTTTTTCCTTTTATCTAAACTGATGTTTTGAAATTACATATTTTTTTTTGC